ATCAATGATCCAATCTCAATCGAAAGTGGTGACGAAAGATTACCTGCAACGAAAGTACGGCAAGGATCAGGCTATCGCGAAATTTTTTTCCTACACGTTATATCAATTGGGCTTGATATACGCATATCAACTTCCGCATCAGACTTTCCGTATATCAAGGAATGATGCAAACATCCTTGTCGAATCAATGATCCAACCTCAATCGAAAGTGGTGACGAAAGATTACCTGCAACGAAAGTACGGCAAGGATCAGGCTATCGCGAAATTTTTTTCCTACACGTTATATCAATTGGGCTTGATATACGCATATCAACTTCCGCATCAGACTTTCGTCCAGGTAGACGAAAGATTACCTGCAACGAAAGTACGGCAAGGATCAGGCTATCGCGAAATTTTTTTCCTACACGTTATATCCATTGGGCTTGATATACGCATATCAACTTCCGCATCAGACTTTCCGTATATCAAGGAATGATGCAAAAATCCTAACCCGAACCCTAACACTAACTATAAACCGAATCGGCTTATATACTATCTATGGTATCCCAAACACTATCTATGGTGTAGTCAAATCAAAGCAGCCAATCAGAAGAGCCCAATGTATATAACGTGTAGGAAAGAAAAATCCCCCGCCCGCCTGCACGCTTGCACGTAAGCACACAAACTTTCCTTCTCGTTGTACTTGTTTTGTTTTTGCTGCCGAATTTAAACCTCGAGGTCATAATTATGTACGTATAGATTAATCGTTATATATCAAGAGCTAACAAATACCTTTATTATATACCTTATAAGTATTTATTAGATCTTGGCTATATCATATCAGTGATCATAAATCACATGTCAGACAGACTACAAGGATTTCCGTGATCTTAACATATTTACACATTTCTCGCACGATAACAATGTTTACGAACTTGCTATGCAAATATAAACGCACCGATTTGATGAGATACGAGCCTGTAGACTAAAGCTAGTGCATGTAGAGATCAGGTTCCAAGAGACTCGTGAGTAGTTCATATGCTCACGCACACCGCTGTACGAAACGAACTCGTTTCTATTCAAAACATTTCAATGACACAGGAAGGACACGGATTTAAATTAAGGCAATTATTTTAAGGTGAATTTAAAAAATCCGCTAGTTTGTGCTATTTCTGGCGAACGATGCACGGTAGGATGGTTACGCGCGTGTCAAGGACAGCTAGGGTTAATTGTTCGTACTCATATACACGTTTATCAAGAGTAGATAATAACACGTGTGTTATTATCTACTCTTGACGTTTATGCTACTGCCGAAATCTAGAGGCGCCTCTTCGTGACTCACTTATCCGTTCCACGAAGGACACCTTGAAATATTTATCCGGACTATAAAACAGTAAACTAATTATAGGATATATAATTTGCTTCAGGTTCTTCTGCAATTCACTCAGAGATCCTACCGAGGGCGAAACCCAAATGATCGTTCTAAAAATATATCGGTGACTGAGATATTTTTACGAATCAAGTAAGTATAAACAAGTTCAAACAAGCAGCGGGTCGGCATCGTAGCGTATACAACACAAGGCCTCGTGGCACCCTTTCCTTCCCCATAATGATATTCACTGCTCGGGTCGTTCACCACTTGTCGTTAACTGTTGTTCGTATCCGACCTTCTCTCCTGTACGGGTACTTGGGCCTTTTCACAAGAATAGTGTTCTTACAACAAACAAATCTTAATTAAACAGTAGTATGTAGTAGTACTATATATATCAAGAGAACATATATAATGGAGAGATTATCTCTCTATTATGTACTCTTGATATATATATATATATATAATATATGTGTGTGTGTATATATATATATAGATATATATCTTTACGGTTGTCGCCTCCGAATACAGGAGTATTTTGACGATTCGTGAATGCTATTGTTAGGTGAACCAGAGTCGAAGTATCGGAATACGTTAACGATTTGATTTAGAGAATCATTTCACTAATTGAATCGACCAAAGCGCATGTATATGCTTCCATTCATTTGGTTAGAACGCAGCTGGACTGCTACGCTACATGCATTCTAAACTGCATGGATGTTAGAATACGACGTCTTCTACAAAACATCGACACGTGACTCTGGAAAGAATGGCGTCACGTTGGATATAATCAGGAATGCATAATATAGACACTCTATATTATCTATATCATATAAAGAAGGCTTTCTTGATATTATCTATATCATATTTATATATATTCTGTATATATATATATATTATATGTGTAATCTATATCATGACACACTCCTGATTATATAGACACTATGTTATGACAATCCTAATATAATTACAGCGGCGTAATATTAGCGAATGTTGCAATTGCCCACAGTTCACCCACTAAGCTATTCCTAGCTAGTCCCATCAGCGCCGATTATATAAGATCTCTCTCTCTCTCTCTCTCTCTCTCTCTCTCTCTCTCTCTCTCTCTCTCTCTCTCTCTCTC